GCAGCTCAGTGTGATCTGCTGTTGTTCTGCTGCTCTCTGTTTCATGTGTGTGCATGCAGTGTGGGCTCCCCTTCACACGGCTTCTCCTCTTCTGAACTGCTTTGTGTTTTTCCCCCTGTTAAACACATCCAATAACAGCTAGACCTGCTTCAGAGTGTCAGCAGCTGGTTCAGTGGCTGAATGTGTTTTTGCCCATGACTGGGTTGACTCTGGGGCTGCGATGTGCCAAAGCCAGACACAGGCGCTGCACCACTGTGCAACCGTGGCCACTGGAGAAAAGCAGCACCATGCCGCCATTGATTGTTACAACCATCCTCATTGGCAGCTATGGTAAACAGCTTGATGAAGCCAACAGAAATGCCACACAAATTTGAATTACATACAAAGCCTGCACTCCTTTAGCTGATTTTTTTCTACAGATGCATTCTCCTGAGTCACATCAGCTTTACCAAGAAACAAAAATGTATTAACTTGTGGGTGGGGCGAATAAGGAACATTTCTCCTGACTGGAGTTTGACCTCTGCAGGAAATTATTCTTGCCCCCTTCTTTTACTCTGGATGTCATCGGTTCACTCTGCGGTTTGTCCAATTACTGGCATATTTCTCTTCTTATTATATTTTCAGCTGCTTCGGTGGGTGTTTTTGCACCAAAGCCGCTTAGGTTTGATGGCAGCAAATCAAATATCTGCTAAGGGTAAGAAAATAAAGAATGGTTTGATGTTAAATAGTCTTGATGTCCTGTGTGCTCCACGCAATCTTCTTCAGTAATATGATTTAGTTCTGCCCCCTGTGTCCTGTGTCAAACGTATCATCCACTTGCAGTTCCTGCTTTAAAATCCTGAGGTCTGACAAAAATTCTATTTGTATTCATGTTGTAGTCGTTTCCAGTATATGGTTGTTCCTCATAAGAATGTGCTATTAAATCATTTTAGTATTTTCTTTTTTGGAAAAAATACTAGTAACAGACTATTGAATAAGTCATTGGAAACATGTTTATGACAATATATGATGAACTATCATATAATAATCCTGACAGACCCTGGTTGGTTGGCATGCCAAACTGCTCTCTGGACATGTCATTTGTGTTTGTGATTATAAAAAAAAAAAAAAGGAAAAAAGCAATAACACTAACCACGCCGACGTAGCACTCGACGCAGAGGAGAAAAGATCACCGCACAACATTAGACACACTCACACTGACCTGAGGTCAAACCCGTGTTCACATGTAACATCTGCTAAGGGTAAGAAAATAAAGAGCAGCTGTTCCACACAAATACTCAGCTCAGTAAAGTCACAAACTGAAGCTGAAGGGGGCTTTTTTCAGCTGATTCAACTGGTCCTGCTACTGAATCCTTCCCGCTTGTCCATGGCAACGATGAGTTCTATTTATGAGTTTGTCAAAGTGCAAAGTCTCATGAAGTTGTTCAGTCAAATGGAATCAAATGTGATACTTACTGTTTTTTAGCTCTTTTCCCACTCTGTGGATGTTGTTAGCTATCCATTAGCCCTTCTTTAAGGCTTTTCACCGAGCCTGCCTGCAGCTCACACATTGTGTTTAGGACTTCTCGACCAATTAAGCTTCTCTTTTCGCTCACTTGTATTTACACTCCCGACACTTAAAAAACGATAAAGTTAACACTGACATTATTGTTATTTTACATGGATCTTTTTTGCATGCTTTAGGCTTTTTGCAGTTTTTTTATTTGGATGTTCGATGCTGGGTTTTTATTATGATGTATTTAAAAAATGTTATCAGTTATAAAGCTGTGGACATGTAAGCAAAGTATAGTTTTTTTACACAAACTCCAGAAAAGGTTTGATAGCAAGAACATCTGAGCTCATTTCAGACAGCAGTTTTTATCACTATTAAACCTCATCTCTTTCTTTTTGCTGTGTTTTTCCAGAAACAATGCTTGGATCTTGTTTATCGGTGGGGAAAATGGCACAAGCCCTCATACCCAAAACCTGGCGTTTACGGCCTGAATTGTCCTTATTGACCTGACGTTAACCAGGGAAAGAAAAAAAAAAGGAGCCGAGAAGGATTTTGTTTTCATCGCAACCTTTCTCTTTTCAGTTACTGGTGAAGTGGGTTCTGCAGCCAAACAGAGCATTCTTCACTGTTCTGGCACCAGACGAGTCACAGCAACCCAGCAGAGAGTTTCATTCACATCTGTGTAATTACAATCAGTGTTAAGAGTGTCTCTGAATAAGAACCACCAGCAGCCGGAGAAAAGGACTGCATTGACGAAGCATTGACAACTGGGGGACAGGCAAAATTAAGCCTTCTCCATTCATACCCCCTAGTTCTTATTATGCAGAAGCTATCTCACTGAGCTTGCTTTTGTGCTGGTGTAATTACTTAATCTGAGCACTCCTGGAGTGAATTACTTTGTGTGCACCAAGCAGGCAGCGTTGCTTTGACTCAAGTTCCCAAAGGGGGATTGAGGTCAGCTTTAATTTGACTGTTTTAAAGTTGCAAATGTAGAGCTGGCCACTTTGTATTTGATACACACTAAAATATTTGCAGATTGCTCGATTTGCTGTAAGATTTTTAGCACCCATTTGATTCTATAGTTCATCGAAGCGCCTCGTGAAAAGATCTGCGCCGTGCTTTATTTTCTGTTGTTTGTTCTTTATAATGGACCTGTCTAACACTTTACTAGACTGGAGACCCATCAAGGCAGGCCGATAAGGACCCAGAGATCCACTTTAGTCATTTGATGCAAAGTGCCAAGTTCAACTCAGTGGGCCTTTCATGAAGTACGCCAGCTGAGTAAACAAATTAATCGTACAGGCGTAGGTTCCCCAATGCAACCACCGAGCCAAGAGCCATCATACATCAGATAGAGTGATGGCAACTGTCTCCGGAAGGAAATAGAAAAGATACGCAACCACAAAGGACCCATTGGTTAATGACCATCATACTTTTTCTGGTCCTCAATTGAGCTCATCTAGTTCTGTTGGATTTTTCCACCCCGACTATTAGTTTGTCTTGCATTTCAGACTTTTCTAAATGTCTTGTAATAAAGTGGAGCGGCTGAACAAAGTAAGACAATCTCAACAGCTGTGTGTATCAGCTAATACCTGAAGACAGTGTGACAGTTTCATTACTCTGTGTTTGCATGCAGAAGAAGAATTGTACTCACGATCTGCTCTTGGAGCAGAGCCGTGCAGCGTACGGCGAGCTGCGCTGGTGGCGTCCTCAGCGGGAGCACGGGCCCGGCTGTGTTTCTGTAATTACTACAGTACAGTAATCTGCAGCGCCACAGAGGGCTCCTGTGTGTGTCCGTGCTGCTGTGTGATCGTATGAATGCACCTTAAATCGCATTATCAGAGGTCTGAACTAAGTTGTACATATTTACTTTTACAGCAAAGCGCAGTTTTCCCAAAGTTATTACCTTATTTTGGTCATTATAAATTCCTAAACTCTAATTTCAGGATTTTTTTGTGGGAGTGTGTAGTCTGAGATGGAGGTTTAAGTCTAGTCTAGTTTGGCCATGTTTACCAGGTTATTAGTGATGACCGTAAAAAGACTGCACTGGGGCACTTAGACAAAAAAAGAAAATCCGATCAGGACGGGCATGACCATAAGATTTAACATTCAAGACTGCTGGTGTCGATTTCGAAGCTCTCTTTGGGATCAAACCACTTTGATACGGACTAAAACGCCCGTGTCAGAGAGAAGATACATGTTTTGGTTTAGTAAAATGCATGCTGGCTAGATTCCCAAAGGTGTGTCTCTCAGCTTAGTTTCTGCCCACAACCACCATCCGTAATGAAGAATTAAATATCATGTAGCAGTTAAAGCATCGAGGCACATCTGAAAAGCCCCTCGTTGGGAGTGAAGTTAAACAGCTACGGTTATGTTCCCATCTTTGAATGGTGTGTGCCCAGTTGAAGGGTGGGGGGGTGGGGGGGATTATGTCATGTCTGTGCACCAAACAGACCTCAGCAAGATTTTCATCTGGATATGATGACGACTGGGGGTTTGAAGTCTTGCGCGGCCAGTCAGATTCAATTAAGTCTGATCAAAAGCTGTCCTCTGATGAGGCAGGTTTGCAGAGGTTTGGAGAATTGAAAGTGAAAGTTTCTTGTTCCACTGTCACTTTCGAGCCTAACAGACGGGGCATTTGTTCACATGTCCTGGAATAATCCAGTCAGACCCTCAGATGTCAGTTAGAATAATCATGATAATAAAGCATGTGGCTTGTTTTTGCGCAACGACCTGTGATTATTTATGGAACCCAGAGATGGGATTTATTGTGTTCCCTTTGTATGTAAAAGACTAATTTATGCCATTTATGTAGAACTCATCTGAAGGGTGTGGCTGAGATAAAAAAAAAACTGTACGAGTTTGTCACAGAAGAATGTGTCTCTTTGTTTGTACTGTCTGCGTGTCATCTGCAAGCTGTGCTGCTATGTTAATCAGCTTTTCTTGCCCATATTGGGTAAGAGACACTTTGCAGTAGTTGGGTAGCAGATTACAGTGAGGTCAAGTCAGGTTGTACCTCACAATGGTCAGAGGTAAAGCATATCCAGGTTCAGTTACCTTAAAAAGCAATGGGAGCCTAAGTATGACCTCTGCTTGTTGAGATGTGCATATATTTAGGATGTGCTGATTTAAAAAAAAATCTGTATTGAATCAATATTAAACTACACAAATGAACCTTTAATCCAGTTTTTATTGTCTTCAAAAGTGGGAAAAGAGCTGTTTTTATTTATTTATTTATTTCCCTTGAGGAAAATTTGGCTATGAAAATTTTTGAAAGTCAAAGACAAGTTCTTCTGCTTGCTCTACTTGTTATAATTTCAGAATCAGAATCAGAAATACTTTAATAATCCCAGAGGGAAATTATTACATAACAGGAACAGTTTTTTTATTCATTTCTACAGTATAATGTCAGATTGTTCTCAGAAAATTGAGCTCTGTATAAATTCACCTACCATTATGCGTATATTGTTGCTTGTGTTACAGTGTTGCCATCATTTTCTGTTGTCAGATCTTCAGGAGATGTTGGCTGGTCTTTAAGAAGGCTTCCAGCAAGGGACCTCGACGGCTAGAAAAGTACCCAGATGAGAAAGCAGCCTACTTCAGAAGCTTCCACAAGGTAAATCATTGAGACATTCATAAGAAATGTAGTTTTGCTTTTTTCTATTTGCAATGTAAGCTGTTTACCATACTATCTAGTAGAATAAGAAATGTAAATGTTTACATAAGTAATGTGGTGAATCAGGTGAAAATTCCTAAATAGCCGTGCCAAAAAAGTATTTGCTCTGTAAAGAAAAAGCATTAGAATAAGATGATAAGAAGCATCATGGTGTCTTTAATATGTCATACGATCACATAACCGCTGATAACTTATGCCACTGCATCATTATTTATGGAGCAAAACCAGTGTGTAGAAACTAAGTTTTCTCCTATTGCTTCTCTAGGGATTAAAACAGGGTTGTGTGCATTCAGGTGTGTCTCAGTTCAAATGTAAAAAAGACATCAGGAATTATATCAGAGAAGCAAATGTTGCGGCATGTCGGTCTTGGAAGACTTATAAGGCAATTCCCAGATGATTTCGGATCCGTCATTCTACAGTGAGACAGAAAATTTGCTAGGGAAAACAGTTACCAATCTTCCCAGGATTGGACGCCCCAGCGAATCCACCACAAAGTCAGACTGAAATGTTCAGTTCTAAAAACCCAAGACGCATTTCAAACTCTGCATGCCCCAGCTAGTATGCTGAATGTTAATTGGATGTGCTGAAATATCTGATAGGAATTACTTTATTGGAGCTACTTCTGAATAAAGCATGTACACATCTTAAGTTTTGAAAGTTGTTTCCAAACAAACAGAAACTTGGTTTAGCTATTTAGCCCAAACTTGAGTGAAAATGAGATCACGGCTGTTCAACCATAACCAGCGTCCAGCGTCATGAGACCGTCTGTCTGACAGGCAAATCTTATCAGGACTGGAGTCATGGCACAGGACAGAGGTCCCAACCCCAGCTACAAAACGGCAACAGACTGTCTGAGACAGAAAACAACTAAGGGGTTGTTATGGTCTAGTTAATGTCCAGACCTCGGCCTGATTGAAATGCCATGAGAAGACCTTAAGAGAACTGTGCGTAGACAAATGTCAGCAAATCTCGTTGAACTGAATTGCATCAGATTGATGCAAGAAACTGATAATGTTGTACAGAAAGCAATCCTTTCATGCTATTTATGTTGAATATGGATTTTACGTTGAACTTCATTCTAGATTATACTTGGATTCACACACCCTCCTCCTGCAGATAGGCTTTTTATTACATTTTTATGTGAGAAGCTGTATTTTTCTGAGATTGTATTTATCCAATTTACGGACCAGATTATTTTTTACAATGTTCTAATACTTCAAAGCTAGGAACTGAAAGAAGAAAAACTTTCCCCACATAACTATATTTGCTTTTTCTTTGCTGGAATGGATGTGATTTCATAATATACTGAAATAAGGGAAAACACCTTAATCTTCTGACTAATGCCACCATTAAATAGCCATAACCATTCGTTTTCCGTGATATTATAGCCACTGCCATTTATGCAGTGCTCTAAAAAGGACCTTGAAAGTTTGTTGTTCCTCTCTTTGTTCTCCCAAATACCAAAAAGAGGCTAAACCTAGTGTGTTATTCCTCAGGCAGCTGATTCTGGCGGAGTTTAAAAGCTTCTGACATCGACATGCAGAGCACAATTACCAAGGAACAGCCAAGACTTTCATTTTGCAATTTGGCCAACTGATTGAATTAATTTGCTTCAGCTGATGAAATCTGACGCCACCATAAATGAAAAGCCAGGAATTGCATTTTGGCCTAAGATGTGTTGCCTTTGTCAAACACAGAACACAGCCTCCTGTAATAGTGTTTTGAATTGATTTTAAAAAGTTGTTATTTTTATTTTTGTATCTTTTTTCCTATTCAAATTATGGCTTATTGCTTGGGTGGGTGGTGGTGGTGGTGGGGGGGGGGATATCACACTGATTTTTGTAAGTGTATGAAAAGTTCTGTTCATTGGACACGGATAATGGAGTTAAGGATCTATCAAGGCAAGTTTTGTAAGTTTATCTTGTCCTCTTGGGCCATTTTTTTCTCTCTGGAAAGCTATAACCCTGAGAATAATATCCCTCTCCCCGCCTCCTCAGCCCTTTGAAATACTCCAATTATGGCTCATTATCCCGGTGAGTGGAGACGATGTTAAAGGAGTTGCACCGTGAACAATGTTTTAACGTAATGAGAGGAGATAACAGCACATAATAGAGGGCCGCGACATAAGGTTTCTTACAATGCTGCAGTTTGAGGGACAATTTCGTACTCTTTCAGCTACCCTGTGGTTATAAAGCAGGTTTTCATCTCAAGTGATTTTCTTTTTTCATTTATTTTCTAGTTCCCTCTGTTTTCCCTCCTGTTTTGATGAAATAAGGGGGGAAATGTTTTGATCTGTTTTATTAGCGTCTCTGGTTGCCATAGCATCAGTCATGCATTTGAATGAACCGTCTCTTGACCTACTACATCATGTCACGTGGCGTGTCTTGTGAGGCTGTCACCCCCCCCCCCCTTCCCTTCCAGAGGCATCTCTTGCACCCGGCGCAGGAGTGAGCGATGGGTGTGCGCATGCACCACTGCACCTGGTAATTCTTTGCCACAAAGATCAAGAAAGGTCCAGTCTGAGGGCTTCATTCATCTCTGCTTTTGGGGGAAATAGGCTGCGCTGGTGGCTGATTTACACAATCAACACGGGGGGGGGGGGGGGCTTGGCTCCACCCTCAGTCTCTTCTGCCTCTCTCCATTTCTTCCTCCCCTGATGACTTCAACACATTATAGATTGGTGGATGTGGCTCAGCACAGCTTATGTAACATGTATTTCTCTTCATTCACTTCTGGAACTGATTATATGATAGATTAGAGGTTTCAAAGGCAGATGGGACCCTCTTTGTGTCCTCCAAACTGTGACAGGGGAGTGAGAAAATATTATGAGTTATCAAAATAATAACTTCTCTGATTACGGTGTAGTTTTGTGTTGTTTTTTTTTTCACACTAGATGCAGAATGTAAAACGGGATCTTGCATATATTACATGCAATCTTACATAGGCTAACTTCCTGTCAGGGATATATATAAATATGTATGAATTTCCTGTCTGAGGAGACAGCATACGACATGCATACGACAGCTCATATAAAATGATTAGATACTATCTATAAGACGGATATGAAAAGAACAAATGAAAACAATCTCCTTTCTGTCAGTATTGCTCCATTTTTTTGATGCTTTTTCTTTCCATTGTTGCAGAAACACTGTCATCCCTACGGTGGACTGGAATGTTGAGCACACACTATCTTAGACTAAAGTCATCTCATTACAAAATGCCATCAAACTAAGACATCTGTACTCCACATATGGTGTGTGTGTTACAAGGTCTGCTCTTTTAACCTTTTACAGTCAAACTTTACTGTATGGGCAGTGGGCCCAGCTAATTCATTCCTAACAGTCTGGCAAAGGGCCCACAGTTAGCACACAAAGGACTGCTATAATGTAATGGGCCTTATCTGCGAGGGAAAGTGAACAGAGAGGAGGCTGTTGAACAAAATGGCCTGTAAATGCCGGTGATATTCAATTAAATATCATTTCCCTTCCTTTTTTTGGGGATTCACGATCAGACTCCTGGTAAAGTGATTTAGATGCCTATGATTGCCCTCCTCCCAATTGACTGGAAAAGTAGTTTCAAGAAGATGCACAATAGTTTGGAGTACACAGAGTAAGCCGCTGCTCCCTTTCTGTCCTATGGTCACAGGACCTGCATGTTGCACATTACACTTCAGGAGATGATGGGAAAAAAACTGGCATTATGTGATCTTGGAGCAGCTGAAGCAGCTTTTTTATTTATCTCCTTAGACCTGCCTCTTTTCCGGTGTGACTTTTCCACTCTTTATCGGCTTCTAACAACTATTGCACTTTCAGCAAAGCTGTGCAGGATGGCAATTAAAGCCCCGCTGCTTCTGTGGCTGCTGGTGGCCGTGTTCGCTCAGGGTAATGTGCTGCTGCCACCCTCTACCTCTTCTGTAGATCACCGAGCTCCATAACATCAAGAACATTACCCGGATGCCGCGGGAGACCAAAAAGCACGCCGTCACCATCGTCTTCTGCAACGACACGTCCAAGACTTTTGCCTGTGAATCAGGTGAGTGCCACCCATCCCCACCCCTCCCCCCTAGAGAGAAATCGAAGCAGCTCTGTTAAGGTCTTGCTACTCTAGCATGAGGGAGAAGGTAATAAGGAGAAAGGGACTGGTTTTGCTTTTGAAGACAGATTTTGTGCTCGAAAAGCGGTTTTCGGGCAAGTTTGGACAGAAGTGAAGGAAGAGAAGGAGAAATTGAAAGATGTGAAGGAGGCAGAGGAGAATTGGAGTTAAGCCAAGTGATGCTCATTTGCCGCTATATTAAGAGGTGGGAGGATGTGTTCCGAAATATTGATTTTCATTGTGTAGGTATGAAGACTGATATTGGGCATAATTTGTGGTGTGGTTCGACCCGATTATGGAGTGTGACAAAAGAAATGGCTTGTTATACGTGGATAGGAAGCCAAAGAGGCACCGGTGGGTTGTCTTTAAGTATAGCAAGATGTAAAGACAGACATGTTTTTCAAGGAATTCTACTATGGCTTTTGGCTTGGGGTAATGATGTTCCCCTGCTCTAAAAAATCTATTCCAATTTCCACTGGGTGGAAGGCAAGATGCACTCATCCCTCTTTAAATAAAACAAGTCATGCAAACATCCTGACTGAAAACAACTATTTGAGGTAGAGATGGACATATTTTTGCTTGCCCCAGATACATGAAATTGGATCATTCTTTTTGCCTCTCATGTGCAGTTGGCTCCTTTTACTTTTTGATTTTGAGTGAAGATTTGATGATGTGTTCGGTCACATTTATGCAGAAATATACAGAAGTTCCAGACAGCACAAACTTCAAAAATCCCTTGAGATGTCTAGGAGAGAAATTTGCTGATACACATGATTTTTTCCCACAGCTTTTGAACACATTATGTGACTTACTTAAGAGAATAAAAATGTATTGAGGAGCCCGTTGAGCCAGCTGGCTCCGATTACACAAGAACACACCTATATAAGATTGTAATTTGGCATGCTGCCTTTCCACTGCAGTGCAATGTGGATGGGAGTATGGATTTGAAAAACTGGACCCGTTAATTGTAAAACAACCTGCTTACTTTTTCAGGGATTTTCATTCAAATATGCACGAATAGCCTGCAGATGAAAAGAAGACGAGAAGATGACCCCCTTTAAAGTTCATAGTGGAGCGTCAGAAAGAAACACACGCTTAATTTACATTCCTCATTAAATACATGCAAAAAACAGTAAAGCATGCCTCCTGATTTGATTCTCGTATAGAGTTTTTTCCTCTTTCATCTTTGCTTTTCAGTTTTTCAGCGCGCTCTCGCATACCCACGAATACAAAAGGGTGGTCCACATTTTCCCTTCGCACACCTACACGCCCGCACAAACAAACGCGCACACAGAGGCTTCATCCTACTGTATTTCCTCATGCATGACACGCAGAGTTGCCAGGGTGCCTCGGTGCTGATGAAGGGTTTGTTTAGCCGATTTTCCACTCAGTGGCCCTAAAAAGTGTGGGAGTTTAGAAGCACTTAAAGGCCACAGCAGGCAGAATCGAGGGGAGGCACGAGGAGCTGCTGTATTTCTGCACCAAGGGCTTTTGGTGGGAGCAGACCTTTCCATAAACTAATCTCTCCCGTTCATTTTTTTTTTCTTCCATTTAATCTTACAAAGACGTTAAAATATATTCTGTTGTTGCAGTGACAATGCATCCATGGACATTTTGCACAAGCATGTGAAGAGTTATTGTGAAGAGACCCTAAAGGGATGCAGCCTTCCTTCACTTGCTCTTCCGTCTCTGTAGACTCGGGTGACCATAGTTACATGCTCCAGAATTCCCTGGGGCCACAGAGCTTAACGGAGATAAACAACTTGGGTGTTTGCCTCATTTCATACTTGAGTTACTTTCACCAAAAACCCAAAGAGGACCATTTGAAGTTTTCTGTTGTATGTGTGTGTGTGCGTGTGTGTGTGTGTCAAACAGGAAGAAAAAACAGTGTTCGGGAAATAACAGGCCTCCACGCGGACTTCCAGATTGATTTATGAAATCATTTCTCTCCACTTATCCAGGAATTAAACAGGAATCTGTTTTGCCGTTCTGTGCTCACCCTCATGCAGAGCCTCCCCACACACCTCACCTCTTGAGGCAGAATCCGTGCTTTAAAATATTCAACAATTGACGAGATTTTGCGCAGAACATTTTTAAATCGTCTGTTAATAGGGATTCTGTGGTTTGGATATCCAGCTCTTACATTTTAAGCGAGTCATTTCTTAAACGTTTCTACTTATTTTAAGGAAACCATTCTGAAGTCCCAACAGGCACAGGCCTATTGTTTTAGCTGGTGTGTGGCAGATGGTTGGTGCGCCCATGAATGAGCTTCAAATGGATCCTCTGGAATTTTTCAAACTCCTGAGTTGATTAAGCTAAATAAATAAATAAAATAATTTAAGGATTTTTACAAACACATTTTTGATTAATGTACCTTTGGCTTACATTCATTCCTTCAGTTATTACCCATACCCACCTAATCCTACTCAGGGTTGCCGGGTCTCTGGAGCCTGTCCGAGCTGCCCTTGCATGAGATGCAGGGCACTCCATCACAGGACAAAGTCAAAGACAAATGACTTGAACAACAAATCCCACCCAGGCTCACTTTTTAGAATCACCAGTTAACCTGACACCTATGCCTTGGCCATGGCTGGAAGCCATTGTTTTTAAACAGAAGTCCCACTGGAGCAGGGTGAATGAGCAAAATGCACACAGAAAGGCTCCACTAAGGATTCAAACAAGTGAAGTTTTTGCTTTTTGCGAAAATACTAAAAATCCCTCCGCTCTGCATCCCTCTTGCCTAGAAAATGTAAATTAATTTTTTGCTAATTTCTCTGAGACTGAGCTCTAGTTTTTAAAAAACTAAAAACTGGTAATCTAACAAAGGGTCCAAGAGGCTTAAGAACTATTCCCAACTCTGTAAACCCTGAAGAGGATGAGTCTCTGTTGCATCTGTTTGGTTTCTTCTTTGACAGATCAAGATCTTTACCCATGCTAGTAGTTTTTTTTAAGCTGTCAAAATTTCTTTCTATAACAGAACCTTATAGGAGTATTTCAGCCATTGAAGAATGATGCTTATTTTGTTTATCTCTGAAGAAAGAAACCATTCTTCTGCACGCTGAGTACGAAACTCCTGTCAGGAGACATAAAGACTACAACCTAACCTTTTCTTTTCCCAAATGTAATTCAAATGAACAGTAACATTGTTTACCGTCTTTGTTCTAAACCAGTCGTGCTTTGGCTTTGCATTGAGAGACAAACAGTCTCTTCCCTAAAGCGCCTTGACATTTAAATGCATTTGTATTCCCGTCACGCTAACCTGTTGATCTTTCTTTGATGGTCACTAGTTTCAAATGTAACATCTTAGAGCAGAATTACTTTTCTTGCCCGTCTTTGGAGCCGAGCTCTGCCGAAGCAGGGGCGCAGAAACCCGTCTCCCTTCTCCTGTTTGCTGTTGCTGAACCCGCAGCCTCTTTTAATCTGCACCACATCCATCAGACTGACCACCTTGCTTAATAGCCGCGCCGTAGCCATGCTCTGTACATGCCACAATTCATCCTGAATTTCCACAGGTGATTTATGTCCGTGCGCAGACACCGTGGCGGCGGGTTTTGCCGGCGGCGGGCGCTTTGCCCTGACGCTGTGCTGCTGTGTGCAGAGCTGGACGCGGAGGAGTGGTGTAAGCTGCTGTGCGTGGAGTGCCTGGGCAGTCGTCTCAACGACATCAGCCTGGGAGAGCCGGACCTGTTAGCGGCGGGGGTGCAGCGGGAGCAGAACGGTGAGTGCCCAATTAGTCCCCGCCAACGCAGACACCCATTCAGGGTCAATCTCTCTCTCATTCAGCCCGCCACCAAGCAGTTAGCGGTTGCGTTTGGGGCCTTCTTGCATTTAAGCGTCTGAGACCTGGAAGGGGTCAGGGGAGTGGAACAGCCACTGTCCAATTAAGCCCGGCTAATAGGGGCCGCTCGTGTCGATTTTTCACTTCAAGCCCACTCTTCGTTTTTATCCACATCACAACACTGTAGTCCACCGTCTGAGGCATGTTTGGATGTGTGTGTTGAAGGAAACTGGTGTGTGTGTGTGTGTGTGTGTGTGTGTGTGTGTGTGTGTGTGTGTG